TGCATTGTTGGAGGTCTGCCATGGTTCTGGGGTGGCGCTTCCATAGCATCGCATCTCAAAGTAGCCGGGCAGACACGGGCGGCACGGACGTACGTACGGGCGGACGGGACGGACGGACAGACGGACACGGACGGGCGAAACGGACGGACGCGGGCCACCAAAATCCACTTTTAGGTGCAAGAGGGATCACTATTTGATATTACGGTGGGGTCCGCCGACTGCCGGGCTTGGTCCCCGCGGCGGCGGCCCGACGCGCCCGACGAGCCACAAGAGTTGCATGGAAATGCGCCGGCCGTGGTTACATCGCACGCATAAAACACGTCGCATAAACCGGATGCGGCTGCAGCGGGGAGGTAGGGGGGTTGGGGGAGGCTCAGCAACAGTCCAAGTGAAGAGCGCCGCGGCGGTATAGCGCGGGGGAGGCAGGCGCCCCGCCCACATCAACAACGGCGACAAGAACGGACACAAATAACATTCTGAACAGGCGCGCGCGAATTTGTCGCGAGGATACGAGAGGCGAGCTTCAAATAATGAAACACATTGGGATAGGGGAGCAGGGGGTGTGGGGGTGGCATTGACCGCGTCGTTGTCACTCGCGCGCCGCGCTGGGCAGAGAGTGATCGATCGCCTTTCGAGGCCCGCGATCAATTCCAATTAGCATAAAATACGCGCGGCGGTATTGATGACGTGTGGGACAGAGACGACTGCTGTGCGTAAAGTCCACCCCCAACGGAAATAACTCCACGCGCTTGGGCTGTGGGAATAATAAAGAGTGAGAGCGCGCGTGTGTGTGAGAGAGACAGACAGAGAGCGTGGGGGGGGGGGAGACAGAGTGAGAGACATAGAGACACAGACAGGGAGAGTGAGTGAGACGCACCTCCCCGCCCGTGGCATTTGGGGCCCCCGGCACGGCCGTCCCGGGAGCGAGCGGTCATCTGTTCTGAGCTGATCATGTGTGATCCCTCGGCTCCCCGGCCGGCCGGCCAGCGCCGCCCAGCGGCGGGGACAATCCCAACTTATCCGCCGGCCGCGGAGATGTCCGTCTCTGTCGCGGTGAAAGTGAGAGAAATGGTGAGAGGGGTGCCGGCCGGGGGCGCCGCCGCGTCTCCCGGGTCCAGCAGGTATACCGCGGAAAACACAACTGTCTCAATGAGGTTGAATGAGGTCGATGGACGCACTGCGATGTTTCATCCCGGGCTACAAAAATGTCCATGGGTGTCCCTATTATGGACGCCAATGACCGTCCTGGTCCTGATTCTTTTTATTGGGACCCCAAAGTGATTTGGGTTCCAGCCCTCTCTACACAGAATGGATCCACGTCGTCGGCCTTGTTCGTGGACCGCGCGGCCCGCCGCGCCCCGGCCCGGAGCTGGCGACAAGCCCCTATCTCCCACTATGGTAATCCGGACGCGTCCCCGGACACCTCATCAGTGCTGCCAATATACGGCGCTCATAAAGCAGTGGCTCATCAGGGCTGCCAGCCGCCGCCAGCAGGAAAAGACGAGGAGGTAAAAAAAAAAACATATTGCAAATTATGTGGACGGGGACCGGGCGGGGGATGGGGCTTTTGGCGCTGGAGGAGAGTTCAGACAAGGAAGAGAGAGGGTCCCCCACTTACCTGAGGCGTTGTAAGTCAATGCTGATGAGATCGGGATGCCTTCATTATACCAGAGCCATGCACTGGTTGGGCGAGACTAGGCGAGTGGTGTGCAACCACGCGAACCCAGCTAGGCGGGCGCGCGACCGGTCAACGGACCCACAAGGGGGCGGTGGAGGAGAAGAAAGGAGGGGGAGGGGGGGGGATGGTAGTGCTCCCGACCGACCACACCCAAACGAGGAGGGGGTTTTATTTCGGGAAAACCCTCGTCGATCTTTCATTTTGTCCAGCCAAAGTCTCTGGGCCGCCGCAAAGCCGCCACCACCACTCTAACCGCCGCCCAACGACGACGACGCCGCTATGGCCACCCCCGCCTGCCGTTGCCTCGGGCCTCGGCCTCGGGGGACTTGAGCGTCGCCAGAGGCCGGCCTGGAACGCCCCGCGAGAACGCGTCTCCAACCCCAACCACAAAAAAAGGGTTTAAAATAAATAAATTGGAAAATTGAAAATAAACCTTAAAATATTCCCTGCGAACAAGTACGAGTTTGTCGGGACGGAGTGCACCCCGGTGCTCTGGTGGGGGTGGGGTGGACGACACTCTCGGCCTCGGCACATTAGTATTTGGTAATAGCCCCCCACGGTCGGGCCCGGGCAGCGTCCATGTTCACGGGGGCCTCCACGAGGGGCGGGCTGTCTTCCCGACGTCGCCCTGACGGCTGTGATATGAGCGGAGGGACGCGGGCGGCGCGGGCGGCGTGTATGCGCACGGGACACTGCAGGTCTTGACGGACTGCAGCTGGGCCGGCGTGCTCAGGTCCACCCTGCCCTGCGCCCCGGCCCGCCAAGCCCCACCACACGCCGCACTGTACCGCAAAATGCAGGGTCTTTTATCTTCATGAAAGTGGCCGGTGATGTATCTGCGCAGATCTCTGCCATCCCATCCAGTGAGGGAGCAGGGCTCCGGGCGCGGCGCGGCGCGGCGTGGCCCGAGGGGCCCGGGGCCTCGGCCTGTCCGGTAAATAGCTGCGGTGGCTGGGGGGAGGGAGTCCCGCAGGACCCCCCGAGCCTCTCCACCGCGAGCCACTAGGTCCGGCAGCACTCTTTCAATATGAAGGATAGGAGACAATACTATTTTTGTTTCTTTAAAAGATTTCAGCCGCCTGCTACTTCTCTTTTGCCTCCCCTCCCCCCGAGCTTTCCCCGCGTACAACTGCCCCGTTGTTATGGTTTTTACTCATTCCCTGCCGACGCATTTCTTGAAAAACACTTTCGAGATTCGATCCAGTTCACGTCAGTTAGGCCCCTCCGAGCCGGGCGAGCCGGCCTGAAGGCGGGCGCGCGGAATGGGTTCCGCAGCCGATCGCGGCACTTTAGGAAATGAGGGAGAGATTTAATGTGTTGTGCATTTCATTGCGATCGATCGGATGTCTTCCTCTCTCTTTCGCTCGCTTCCTTTCTGTGTCCTCCCATTAACATTATTGCCCTCACCCC